TGCTCATGTGTTCTAGGGTCATTGCCATATCATATATGCTGAGAGAAGTTCATAAACTTAGCAAATGCAAGGGGGTAAAAGTCAAAGTCTGGCATGTATCTATTGCTAGAGTGTGTCACAGCCTGCAACAGCATGTTCCTCCATGATGTGCTTAACAGCAGGCTCTACAGATCTGGTTCCTTCCCCTTCTCCACCTCCTATCTGCTGATCTCTTCAGCTAGACTCTTCCCAGTGACTCACCCCTCTCCCCCGTGAAGTGGCAAGGTCGTGTTGAAACTGTGTTCTTTGCACAGCATGGGGCTGTAGTGATGTCACATATTATTGTGGTGGCATCGTGCTGTTTGTGTTGTGCCGTGGTGATGCTACGATACCACTTGTTGGCTACTGCCAGCATGTTCCAATGCAACATGGGCACCTGAATTGAATTGGATTTATTCAGTAACACATCCTGCAAATGTCTCTTGAACAGCACAGGGCAAAGCCATTGGGATAGGGGCAAATCTTGCACCCTTCTGATTTATCAGACCCAGCTCCCTCTGCTGACAAGCATATGAATTTTCCCCTTATATTTATCCAGACTAGGCCCTTTCTTAGTTACATCCCATTCCTCCTAGTTACACCCCTTGTTCCCCCTGAGGCTCTGCCTACAGTACGACTTTTGTCGGTATAACTTATGTCGCTTGGGGGTGTGAGGAAAATAGCCTCCGGATCGCCATAAGTTACACCAAGAGAAGCGCCGGTGTGGACAGTGTTATATCGGCAGGAGAGCTTCACCCGCCGACATAGTTACTGCCACTCGTTGGGGGTGGTTTAATTATGTCAATGGGAGAAATCTCTCCTGTCGGCATAGAGTGGCTACACGAGAGATCTTACAGCAGTGCAGCTGCATTGGTACAGCTGTGCCGCTGTAAGCTCACTAGGGTAGACCTGGCCTCAGTAGCTCTTCTCCCTCCTCAGTGTTCACACCCATCAGATGTTTGTAGACTGTTATCGTATCCCTTCTCTTTCATCCCTTAGCCAAGCTAGACATCGTTAGCTCTGTTAATCTTTCCTCCAAAGTGTATCCCTCCTGCCCCCTAATCATGTACCCTGCTGTTCTCTGAACTCCTTCCAGTTTGTCTACATCTTTCGGTTAATAAGGTGCCCAGAAGTGAATGCAGGATTCCAGGCATGGCCACATTATTATTATTTATTATTGTATTATTGTATCACAGCAACATCTAAAGACCCTGGTGCTGATTGGGGTCTCACTATGCTGGATGCTGTGACCTCTCTGTGTCATGATGCCATGCCTGGGCTGTGCTTCCATAGATCACGG